GGCTCCCGGCCCCCCACCCTGGCAGTGGTCAGCAGGGGCCCGAGCTTGGCCATCCGGCCGGTGCAGCCGGCGGGGTCTTGTCTTTCTGTGGCTGCAGGAAGCGGTCTGGGCCCACGGCCGCCCAGGTGCTGCTGGACAACCTTGGGTGCCGCCGCGGGGCCCCGTAGAGCCACCCACCCCTCCACCCACCCCTCCCCGCCCTCCCCCGTCCCTCTCTGGGGCTTGACCCCCAGCCCGAGGCCTGCGCCGGGCTCAGCCTGCCTTTCCTGCTGTCCTGGCCGCCAGGTGCGGGCAGACGTCCCCCCAAGGCTGAAATCTGGCTCCAATCTCAGCTGCCTCCAGGGCTCTCCAGAGTGTTGTTTTCCAGTCCTGGGCCTGAGCCGACAGCCCCGGGCCTGCCCGCAGATACGAGAAGGCCTTGCTGGCCTTCACCCCCTCCCCCGCGCCGCCCCAGCTTCGCCCCAGGAGCCCCGAGCGCACCCTCCCGCCTCAGCCCGCTGCCGCCCGGCTCCCCTCGCCCCGGCCCGGCCTGGCCGCTCCCACCGCCAATACCCCACTGGGGGCTTCAGCGGAAGCGCAGGGGACACGGCGTGCAGACCGCCGGGGCTCTTGGGGACACCCCGCGAAGCGTAGGGGGGGCTCCGCGGCCTCGGCCCGGAAGGAGAGACGGGGCCGGGCTCGCGGGACGGTGGGTAGGAGCCCGTGCCCGGCGCGGCCTCAGCCTGCCCCCGCGGAGCCAGCGCCCATCTCCCGCCTCGCCGGGGTCACAGGACCGGAGACTCTCTGGGGCGCCATCCCCGTGTCAGTTTGCGGGGGCTGCTGAGCCCAAGCCCCGCAAGCTCGGCGCCTAAAGCCAAGTTTATTCTCTGAAGGTTCTGCAGGATTCTGGAGGCCAGACCCGCGTCGGAACCCCCGGCTGAAGTCATGGCGCGCCCCGGACCGGCTCCCTCTGGGGCTCCTGCTTCCTCCCCTGGGGCGGCCCCTCTGTTCCAAGGCCCAGCGCCCCACCCCTGGGGCTAACACCCTGTGGCCCACTCGGCCCCGGTCCCCTGCCCTCTTGCAAGGCCCTGTGGCTGCCGGACCCCGGAGGGTGCAGAAGAAGCACATGCCAGGGTCCTTCACCGACACTCCTGCAGGGTGCTGGCGCCGAGGCTGCGGTCCCGGCCCGGGCGGGATCTGGGCGTGGGGGGGGCACTGTGCAGTGCCCACAGGTCTTGAGAAGATGCAGTGAGGACACCCGGGGCAGAGGCTCAATGTCAACGTGGCCTTTGTTAATGTACCTCCCCCCTCCCCTGCCCTCCCCTCCCTCTCGCCCCAGCCCCTCACCCCAGCCCTCCCCCAGCCCCTGCCTCAGCCCCCCAGCCCCTCCCCCAGCCCCTCCGGCTTTGGGCGCCACTGAGCTTGCAGCCATCAAAGTGCCAGTCGCTGCTCTCACTGCCCACTGGCTTGACCGCGCACCCCCCTCTCCCGCGCACCCCCCTCTCCTGCGCACCCCCTCTCCCGTGTGCACCCCTCTCCCGTGCACCCCCTTCTCCCGCGCGCACCCCTCTCCCATGCACCCCACTCTCCCGCGTGCACCCCTCTCCCGCGCACCCCCCTCTCCTGCGCCCTGGACATGTCTGCGCTGGACCAGCGAGGTCGGGGCCCTTGGCACTGGCGTTTGCGTGTTGGGTTTGCTGGGGCGCCCGGCCCCCCTTGGCGGCGCCTCCTCCCGCGCCCCAGCGCGCCTTGGCGTGTCCATGCCGCGCGGGGGCGACCGTGCTTGGAGGCCGCTGCGCGCCGGCCCCAGGGTCTCCACGCCCCACCCGCCCGGCCCGCGGCCGCCACGCGGGAAGGTGTCGCCGGTGTCTTCCGCGGAGGTTGTCGCTCCAGGTCTTGTTCCTAAACCTTTCATCCATTCGGGAATCATTTGTGTGTGCGTCGGCAGGTCACCGCTGCCCTTCCCCGCCACCGCCCTGGGCCCCACCCCGGCCCCGTGGGCCCCACCCCGGCCCCGTGGGCCCCATCCCGGCCCCATGGGCCCCATCCCGGCCCCTGTGGGCTACATCGCTGCCCCTGTGGGCTCCACCCCGGCCCCGTGGGCTCCACCCCGGCCCCATGGGCTCCACCGCTGCCCCCGTGGGCTCCTGTGGCCGGCTAGCCGGGGCTGCCGCTGGCCGCTGGGCTCTTCCCCGCTGAGGACGAGCGTCCCTGACGTGGCGTCTGTGACCGGGTGACGCGATGCCGCTTTTCTTTGCCTTTTTCTCAGTATTGCTTTGGCATTTCGAGGGTTTTGTGGTTCTATTTAAATTCCAGTTTGCTTTTGGTTCAGTTTCCTTGGAGAGTGCCGCTGGTGTTCCCACGGGTCACCCCAGATCTGCCTCGCTTGGACGGGACGGTCCTTCCGCAGCATCCCGTCGCTCCCGGCCCCCCGTGTGGTGCCGCCTGCGCCCAGGGCTGAGCCCTGCCCTCCTGCCGTCCAGCCGCAGGTGCGGCCCCTGTCCCTCGGGCTAACTTGCAGGCGTTCATTCTTTTTAGTTTTTTTAAAGATTTATTTATTTATACAAGAGCTGGGGCAGAGGCCAGAGGTGTGGGGGTGAGAGGATTCCCAGAGACAGAGCGGGGAGCAGAACAGGCAGACTGACTGAAATCCACTGCCGAGGGGAGCAGCGGGGAGACAGGAGGGGTCTGCAGCGCTATGTGGGGAGCTCCCTGGCCGGGGCTGGAACTCGCGCTGCAGAGGCTGCGGACAGCCACACAGTGCGGTGCTCAACCTCTGGCGCCGCCAGGGAGGCCCCACCACGTTCATTCTTTTTAAAGCCCGTGTGGAGGGAGTCGGTCCCTCGCTGCCTGCGCTCCTGGTCTGTGTGCTTGGCGGAGACAGCAGGTGCCTGCGGCCGCACTGCGTCTGCGGGAGGGACGGCCCCGCTCCTCTCCCAGCGCGGCCCCCTTGTCTGTGTCTGTCCGGGCAGAGCCTCCAGCGCCGCGCCAGACGGAGGCCACGCGGCTTCCCTGCCCTCTGCATCTTCCCGGGGAAGCTGCTGCTGCTCGCGCCCAGGCCTGCTGGCGGGCGGCCTTCAGCGTGTGGGGGCGGGTCCGGGCGGGTCCCTCCCTTCGCACGCTGCGTGGGGTATCTGCGGGGTGTCTGCCGCAGCGCACGTGCCTCTTCCCAGACGCCCGCTCTGCCTCTCTCGACGTCCTGCGCCGCCTCACCAGCCCTCCTCCAGCTCAGCCCCGCGACTCTGACTTCACCGGGTGCGGGCTGGCTCGCCCTTTGCTCAGCCTCTCGCCTCCGTGTCCCTCGGGGCCGCGGGCCCCGCGCCTCCGCTGCGCAGTCTCTCCGCGGCCGGGCCCCGACTCAGAGGCGCCCCTTCGGTGGCTGCCCTCGCCGGGCAGCAGCTCCTCCACGCGCCGCTGTCGCCGCGGGCTCTGTCTCGGGGAGACTCGTGCTCGGTCTCCAGGCCGAGGCCGGCACGGCCGGCGTCTTCCCAGGCGTCGGGGGCTGTGTGCCAGGGTGGCCCTGCCCTCCGGGGTCTGGAGCAGCCTCTGTGTCCGCTCTTGCGTCTGGCACTGGGCGGCCGCGTGCTCCGCGCGGCAGCTTCTCCCCCCTCTGGGGTGCGGGACGCCGCGTTCCCTCCTGGCGCGTGTGGGGCGGGAGCGGCCTGCTGTGTGCTCCTGTCCGAGAGCCGGCTCCGCCCGTGCCGGGCCTCGGCGAGCTCCTGCTCTCGCTCTGCCGCTCCGTCCCTGCGGCCCGGCGCGCAGGTCTCGTTCGCTCCTCTTCGGGTGCGCGTTACGTTGCTTGTTAGGGATTTGTCCCGCTTCCTGACATGGGCCTGGGGTGCGTTTACCTCTCCTCTGAGCCCGCGTCTGCGGCCCCCGGGCCCTGTCCGCGCGGATCGGCCCGTTGCCCCGTGACCCCCGCCGCTCACCACCGCGTCGCCCCGAGACCGCAGCGTTTCCAGCTGCCACTGAGACTCACGGTCGGTCTCTGAGCTTTCGGCCTCGTGGTCAGAGAGGACCCTTGGCCTAATCTGGACCTTCGTAGTTTTATGGACAGTTGACTTGTGCCCAGGCGTGTCTATGCTTGAGGCCGTTCCGGGCACTTGAACAGGCTGAGTGCGCGGGGGCTTGGGCGAGGGCGGGAGGCACAGCTGTGGGCCCGGCTGGGTCCCCGCGTCGCCTCTCGTTCACGCCGGCGGGCGGCCCGTGGAGCAGGGCTTGGCCTGTGAGTCTCCTGGCCCCTGTGCCGCTGCCGCGGAGCCTGTCCCCAGACGCCAGCCCTCCTCGGGCGACATCTCCGTCACGTGGCTCTCACAGCGCGGCGACCGCTGGCCTGGCTCTTCACGCTGCCCTCCGGGGCTCTCGTGTGAAAAGTGCTGTCGAGGGGGGCCGCGGGCAGACAACGGGGCCGGGCGGGGGCGCTGCCCACTGACGGATCCGGCCTGTCTGTGCGCATGGCGGGGCCTGCACAGACCTGCCCCCCACCCCGGGGACCTGCAGGCCGGGACGTGCCAGGCAGAGGGCAGTGTGACCAGCCCCAGGAGAGCCTGGGCACGGTCCGGGGGTCGCCGTGGACAGCACCTCGCAGGGGGTCACACAGGGCTGCCCAGGAGGGGGTCCTGGAGCTGGCACCGGCTCCTCTGGACCCCCCCTGCCATGCGCCCACCCCTCTCGGAGCTTTGCTGCTCTCTTGGGTGGCGTCTTCGCCATGAGACCAGCTCCTCGCCCCACATCCTGGGGGACGCTGCGCCTGGGGTGGGCTCGGGCCGCCCTTTGTGGCAGCCAGCCCCCGGCCGTCCGCGCCCCGCCCCAGCCCTCCGGCGCCTCGCCCCGTGGGCTCGCTGGCGGCCTTGTGGGGGGTCCCTTCCCGAAGGCACCCTCCTCTGGGTGTCCTCACCTGCTGCCTCTCACCCGCTCCTCCCCGCTGCCCGTCGGCCGCCCCGAATGCAAGGTCGCGGGCTCTGGCAGGCGGGGCAGCCGGACGCTCCTGGCGCTGCGGGAGGACGGGCCGGGGCCCACCCTGGGCCTGCCGCGCTGCTCCTCGGCCACCTGGTGCGGTCCTGGCGCCCGCCAGTGCGGCGCCCTGAGTCTCCCTGTGTCTGGCCTCGTGTTGGGACAGAAAGCGCTGCAAGGATGGGCTCTAACGACGCTGCTTCTTCTTCCTTAGGGCGCCATTTCAGAGCCAGCACGGGCGCCTGGAGCCTCCCTCAAGGATGGACCCGCTGGAAGGATGACGCTGGCCCGGCCGAGCGTGGCGGCATGTTCAGGGCGGGGGGCGCGGGGGAGCGGCCCCCCCGCGTGCGCAGTGTGGAGGTGGCCCGCGGGCGCGCGGGCTACGGGTTCACGCTGTGCGGCCAGGCGCCCTGCGCGCTCAGCGGCGTCCTGCGGGGCAGCCCCGCTGACCTCGTGGGCCTGCGCGCCGGGGACCAGATCCTGGCGGTCAACGAGATCAACGTGAAGAAGGCCTCGCACGAGGACGTGGTGAAGCTGATCGGCCGCTGCCCGGGCGTCCTGCACATGGTGGTGGGCGAGGGCCGCGGCCCCCCGCAAGCCTGCTCCAGCGACGACGAGGGGGGCGCCTGTGACCGTGAGGGCTGGCCGGAGCCCAGGCTCGACTCCAAGGCCCTGGGGATCAGCCGCGCCCAGCGGGTGGTGGAGGAGATGCGCTCGGGCGGCATCTTGAGCATGATCCTGGAGAGCCCCGGCCTGCGCGCCCACGGCCCCGAGCCCCCGCGGCGCCAGCAGAGGGTGCAGTCGGAGGCGGCCGCCACGGCCCCAGCCCTCAGAGCCCAGGCCCGGAGCGGCCCCCGCGCCCGCCCGCTGTCGCAGGAGGAGGTCGCCAAGGTGGTCCAGGTCGTGAGCGACGATGCGGCATTCGGGGCCCGGTGCGAGGGCCACGAGGACGTGGGGCTGGATGCCAGCATCCTGAACGTGGCCATGGTGGTGGGCTACCTGGGCTCCATCGAGCTGCCCGCGGCCAGCGGCAGCCTGGAGTCGGACAGCCTGCAGGCCATCCGGGGCTGCCTGCGGCGCCTGCGGGCCGAGCAGAAGGTCCACTCGCTGGTGGCCCTGAAGGTCATGCACGACTGTGTGCAGCTGTGCGCCGAGCGGGCGGCCGTGCTGGCCGAGTACCCCGCCGAGAGGCTGGCCTTCAGCGCCGTGTGCCCCGACGACCGCAGGCTGTTCGGGCTGGTGACCATGCAGGCGGGCGAGGACGGGGGCCTGGCTGCCGAGGAGGAGGGCGGGCTGCGGACGTCCTGCCACGTCTTCCTGGTGGACCCGGACCTGTCTCAGCACAGGGCCCACCAGGGCCTGGCCCGGCGCTTCGGCTTCGAGTGCACGCCCGACCCCGACACGGGCGGCTGCCTCGAGTTCCCTGCGTCCTCGCTGCCAGTCCTGCAGTTCGTGTCCGTGCTGTACCGGGACATGGGCGAGCTGATGGAGGGCGTGCGGGCCCGGGCCTTCATGGACGGGGATGCGGACGCCCAGCAGAACACCAGCACCAGCAGCAACAGCGACAGCGGCATCGGCAACTTCCACCAGGAGGAGCGGGGCGGCCGTGTGCTGGTGGTGGACCTGGGTGGCGGTGGTGGCCGGCTGGGGCCTGGCAGCGGCTCCTGGGAGGCCGCAGGCGGCCGGGGCCCTCAGCCGTGGGGCGCCCCCTGGACTGGGGCCTTCTGCTACGACCCGGAGGGGGGCCCCCCTTTCGAGGCCGCGCCCCCGGCTGACAGGTGCTGGGACTTGGGCAAGCACCTGGGGCCTGCTGCCCGCGCCGAGGGCCCCCCCACGGCCTCGCGGAGCGCCGTGCCTCCCTCCAAGAGGACTGCCGCGGGCCCAGGTGGCGGCCTCGGCCAGCGGTGGCTCCCGGCACACGTCCTGCGGGAGTGGCAGTGCGGGCACGCCAGCGACCAGGAGTCCTACACAGACTCCACCGACGGCTGGTCCAGCGTCAACTGCGGCACGCTGCCCCCCCCCATGAGCAAGATTCCAGCCGACCGCTACCGCCTGGACGGCAGCCTGGCACCCCCTGCGCTGAGCGCCCCGAAAAGGGACTGGTCCAGGAAGGCTTTGGGGATGCAGAACCTTTTTGGTCCCCACCGCAATGTCAGAAAGACGAAGGAGGACAAAAAGGTGAGTCCGGGTGGTCAGGAGGAGCGGGGCGGCCGGCAGACTCCGGCCACCCCCACCAGGGAGTCCACTGCCCTGGCTTTCAAAGTCTCCATGGCCCCTCCTCTCTCCCCTTGCTCCCGGGACACCCCAGGAGACGGCGTCTGGGGAGGCGGCCACCCCGCCCAGCACTCAGCCAGGCTCTTGCCGGCATCCCGGGCCTGGCACCGCTGCGGTCCTCGGAGGGCCAAGGCTGCTGGAGCGGCCACGGCTCGCACGCCATGGACACTCGCCCACCCGCTGGCTCCTGCCCCTGCGGGGGAGACGCAGCGTCCGCCGAGCTCCTGGCGCTGACGTGGCGCGGTGTCCGACAGGCTGCCGGGAGCCGCGTGTGGCCCTGCTGGCCGTGCAGCTGGCCGTGCTCTTCAGGCGTCCACTCAGGCCGGCCCGCGGCCTGCGGGTCTCCGTGTCCCTGCTGGCGTGGACCCGCGGAGGCGGCCAAGGCTGTCCCCCTGCCCGACAATGGCCTGAGCTGACTGGAGGCCAAGGGGGCGGAGCCGCGGTCAGGCCAGCAAGTGTCCCAGAGGGGGAGGAGTCGTAGGGGTGCAGGACACCGGTGTCCTGGCTGCCCCTCAACCCTCCCGCTGCCCTGGGGCTTCAGACCCCTCATCGCCTGTGGTCAGCTGTGTCCCCGGGGCGGGGCTGCTCCCAGAGATGGGGCTGTGGGGAGCTCGCTGGAGGGGTTGCTGCTGGCCAGGAGGGCTGTGCCCAGGAAAATGGTATGGGAACCCCTCAGACCCACCATTCCCTCTCCAGCACCTCGACAGCCAGACCAGAAACTGCCTGTCCAGCCCTCTGCTGTGGGGGGATGTCAGGCCCACCGCAGGGCCCCACGGAGAAGGGGTGGCTTGACCCAAGACTGGAGGCCATCCTGGACCCCACACCCCACACACCTCTCCTGCCTGGGCCACCCCCAGCAGGACCACCCCCGCCCCAGCAGGACCCCAGCCTCTGAGCTGTGCGGCTACGGCTCATCTCTGCCGCCCCCCTTGGCCGAGGGCTCTGTGCCGGGGATGCCTTGGTGCCCGGGGGCAGCTCTGCAGACGCCTCCCTGCCTCCTCCTGCGGGCGCCCCGGTCAGCGTGAGCCTCGCGTGTGGGCCTCGGTGGGCCGGCCGCACAGACAGGGCAGCCCCAGCACCCCTGGGTCTCAGGAGCAGGGGGAGCCGGCAGCCTCGCTGGACAACGCTCCAGCCCCTCTGCTGGGTGGGCTGCGCATGGCCGGGCCTGCGACCTGCACCCTCACCAGAGCCTGCGAAGCGGGGCCCCTCCTCCCCGGCTGGTCTTTCTCGGCAGGGCAGGGCGGGGTGGGTGCCGGGGCTGTGGCCAGAGCGACCCTTTCAGAGTGTCGTCCGCGTTGTTGTGACATTCAATTCAAATTGAGGATGTTTCCTTCTGCCCCTGAAAGTTGGTGTTTTCAGAACGATAGTAATTTAGCTACCGGCTTAAACAGCAGAACTCAAATTAGTAAACTTTGCAGAAAATGATTTCTGCAAAGTTTTGGAAACGTTTTAAGTGACGTGCGATATTTATGATAACGTGTGAAGAGTTTGTTGTGACTTTGAAATGAATTAATTTATGTTTCACGATTTCCCGGGTTAGTCTTTTTTTTTTTTTTTTTTTTTTTTTTAAGATTGATTGATTTATACGAGAGCTGGGGCCCAGGCCAGAGGCGCGGAGGGTGAGAGGAGGAGCAGAACAGAGCCAGAGCGGGGAGCACAACAGGCAGATGGACCGAAAGCTCTGCTGAGGGGAGCAGCGGGGAGGCAGGAGAGGTCTGCGCGCCGTGTGGGCAGCTCCCTGGCCGGCCGGGGATCGAACCCGCGCTGCGGAGGCTGCGGGCAGCTCCACAGGCTGCGCTCAACCTGCTGCGCCCCCAGGGAGGCCCTCCCAGCTTAGTCTTTAATGCGGGACTGTAGCGAGGAAGCCCCCAGGCGAAAGTTCTCGCAGCCTCAGGAACCTTTAAGCTTGTCCAGGCTCTGGCCAGTGTGGCGGCCTGGGGCCTGGGGGCTGCCGGGCCAGGCTCAGGGAGACGGTGGCCTGGGGCACCCGCAGAGGCGGTGGAGGCTGCCTGCTGCGCCTGCCCTGACTCCCCAAGACACCCTCACCTGCTGTGCAGACCCGTGTCCACGCGTGCACCCCCGGCGTCCCTGCGGTGAGGCCCGTGGCCACCCCCACGTGGAGGCCTCCAGGGCAGCTGCCTGCTCTCTCTCACCTGAGTTTGGGGTTTTATTACGGGAATGTGAAGGCAGCGCACTGAACGTTCCTTTGGAGGGAAACCAGGTCTCTATTTAATTGTTTCAGCAGAACAAAGGGAGGTCTGGCCGGGAGGGCGCGTTTCTGGGGGCGCTGGCAGAGAGCGGTCAGCACAGGTCCCCGTGGCTTCTCAGACAATGAGAGGAAGTGGGTGGCAGAGAGCCCTGGAGAACCCCTGACGCAGACCCCACGTCTGACGCCACCAAGGGCTTCCTGCAGCCCCGCCCCTGCCGCGCCCCTGCCCCTCCCCCTGCCCTGCCCCTGCCCTCCCTCTGCCCCTGCCCCTGCCCCTGCCTCCACCCCCGCCTCTGCCCCCTGCTCCTGCCCCTGCCCGGTGGCGGTGGCACCTGCCGCGGCGTGTCCCCAGGGAGGTGGCTGCCGTGTAGACCTTCCACCCGCCGGTGGGGGTTGAGCTTGGCCCCCTTCGCAGGCGGGCGGGGCTCGCGGAGAAGCAGCCGAGGTCAGTGGGGCCAGTAGGGCCACTGGGCAGAGGGGCGGAGGCTGGAGCAGAGTCCCCGAGGTTTCGAGGCGAGGCCTTGGAGCGGAGCTGGGAGCTCTGACGGCCCCTGGCTGTGCGGGTCCCTCGGCGCCCCGGGCTCCGGGCTCAGGCTCGGCGCTGCTCCCCCTCCCCGCTGCGGCCCCTGCCCGGCCTGTGGGCTGTGCGAGGGGAGCCCTGCAGTGGGGGCTTGGGCCGCCCTCACCCTCCAGCCTGCTCGGGGCCCCTCAGGGCTGCCCCCAGGCCCCGGAGGTGCCGGGCGGCTGCCGCCGACCTTGCAGAGTGGGGCAGGGTCCGGGCGCTGGGGTCCTCCAGCCCCCTCGAGTGCAGGAGGCGCCGCCAGAGAGGGAAGCCTCTCACTCCACCCTGCTCAGCCGCCCAGTGCCCGGGCCCGGGCCGGCTGGCCCCAAGTGCGGCTCCCGCCGGCCGAGGCAGCGAGCGCGAGGGCCCGCGACACTGGCCAGGGCCCACCAGGCGGCCGGCTTCCTGCTGGGCGCCTCGCTCTGTTGCCGGCCACTGCTGGCCACCCCGCTGACCCCGCACTGCCAGGCGCCGCCTCCCTGCCCTCCAGGAGCCCGAGTGCCAGCCCCGCTGCCGTCCTTGCTCTGGCAGTTTGCGCTCCAGGGAGCGCTTGTCGCACCCCAGGTTCAGAGGCGGCCAAGCCCGTCTCGGGATTGTTGGGGCTGACTTGTGGGTGGACCAGGCGCGAGGCTGGTGGAGCTTTGCCACGCAGCTCAACGACCAGGGGCCTCTGGCTCGGGCCACGGTGTTGTGTCAACGCCGGAGGGTGTGAGCACGCGGCCCCCCACCTGGGTGCGAGCCGGGGCAGCCCCGCCCCCCCGCTCCTGCTCACAGACTTGACTGCGGGCTTGTGAGTTCTGCGGGACGCCTGCTGTCTCGTGGGCAGCTGCACTTGGGTTCTAATGGCAGCCAGTTTGCGGGACTCGCCGTCTTGGGGGTGTGGCGCCTCCTCTCCGCCCACCTGGGTTTTCTCCTCGCGCAGCAAGTCTGTCGCCCGGCTCTCAGGCAGGCCTGTCGGGGCCCGTCTGGCCAGGCGCACCCGGAGGCGCCGGTGCTCTGTCACCACGAAGGATGGCGCCTGTTGAGAACGCGCCGCTTGCTCTTGCCAGGTGAAGGCACGCCTGTCCCGTCCAGCCCCCGCCGCGGCCCTCAGCGGCCAGCGCGTGGTCCCGGCTCCCCTCTGCACGCACGGCTCCTCAGAGGCCCAAGCGGGCGTCCCCTCCACGTGCTGCTCAGGCTGGCCAGTGCCTGAGTCTCTGCTCCACGTGGTGGGATTTCGCGCATTTCTGTTTTTGTAGGATCTGGGAGTCAAGCTATTTCTAATTTTCCCTTTCCGCGTTGTCTTTGGTTTGGGTCTTACCAAACGACACAAATCCAGAACGTCTGGGCACCTTCCAGAAACGCGTAGAGAGCGTGTGCCCACGCGGCCGTGCCGGAGACTGGCCCCAGCGGCTCCTGCCCCGCGGCCGCGCTGTCCCGAGCCTGCCCGCCCTGGCCGCGGCCTGCGCCCGTGTCCCCGCCAACCCGGCCTTCGACGTGCCCCCGCGCCGGGGTGCAGGCGGCAGGACGGCCCCTCCCGCGCCACGCCGGGCCGGCCGGGGGAAAGCGACTCACCCGCTGTGTTCCTTTGTGTCTAGGGCTCGAAACTGGGCCGGGGGCTCGGACCGGCCCAGCCCGCCCAGCGCCCCTCGGCTCGGAGGCCCTTCGGCAGATCCAAGAGGTTCAGCATCACCCGGTCCCTGGACGACCTGGAGGTGACTTTCCTCTCCGTTCCCTTCCTTCCTCGGGCTGTACCGAACGGAAGCCACCTTCACGCCACGGCCCTCTGTGTCCACCCCGACCCCGCTCCTGCCCTCCCTGGTGTGGCCGCCGCCTCTGGGCCTGGTGCCCATCCCGACCCTTCTCTGCTGTGCCCCGCCCCGGCCCTGCAGGCGCCCCCAGGCCCTGCAGGACAACCTCGTTCCCTGGGAGGGGACGCCGGCCCCAGACTCAGCCCCGGCTCTCCCTGCGACCCTCTAAGGCGAAGCCTCGGCCGCGCGTCCTCTGGCAGCATTTGGGGTTCTCACCACGGTGGGGCGAGCCCGAGCCCCGACCCGCCCGGTCAGCGCCTCCCGGTCAGTGGCACCCGGTCAGCGCCGTCTCAGGAGCCGGGTTGTGCTCGCCGCCTCTGGTCTGGTGCCACAGGACAGGCCCCTGTGCTGTGGCCCGCCGATGGCCCCACTGCCCTGGACCCCCAGGCAGCGCCTGTCCCTTCCTCCCCAGGCCCTGGCGACCGGGGCCCACGCCTGCCCCTGTGTGTCTTGTCTTGGCCCTGGTCTTGCGGCGTGGGGCGCCCGGCGGGGAGAGCCGCGCCTGCCTGGCCGGCCCGGCCGGAGCCCTGGACGGCTGTGCTGGGATGGCTGGGCCCACCCTCACAGCGGGGTGTGCCCCGGGTGTTCCCCGGCCTGCTGGCCACCGGCTCCTCCTGCCTGGCGCGTAGCCATGTGCTCTGCTCTCCTGCGGGGGGTGCTGTGTGGACCCTGGAGGGTTGTCTCTCCCCTGTGGCTTCGTCAGGAGTGTCCACGGTTGTCCCTGTGCTTGTCTCTGTGTCCACTGGGCCCCGGGCTGGTGGCCTGCTGAGGTGGCCTCTACTGTTGCGTCCCCCGCAACCCCATGGCTCCCTCCGCCCCCCACCTGCTGCCCTACCCTGTGGCGTTTTCCTGTCTCCAGGGACCGGCTCCCCCAGCCACCCGGCCTGCCCTTCGGGGCTTCTCCCTGGGGAGGGTGTCCTGGGCTCCTCCGCGGTGCCAGGGCAGGGCCCGGCCTCTGTTGTCCTCTCGCCCTTGGGCGGGCAGGCGCTGGCTGGGGTGGGCCCTGGGCGCCGACAGTGGGCAGTTGACTCGGCCCAGAACACCCGTCTGCAGACGGGCTTCTGGCCACACAGCCTGCCTGTCCTGCGGCCAGCGGCCAGCGCCCCTCGCGGCCCCTGGAGGCTCCTCCCACCTCCCTGGCGCCCCCCACCCCGCTCTCCCTGGGCCCTTGCTCCATGTCGCTGCCTCAGGCACCTGCCGGGAGCCCCCCAGGTTTCCAGCCCGGACTCAAGGAGGGCGCAGGTGGGGTTTGCAGGGATGGACGGTGCCCGACCTGGACAGCAGGGGGCGCCAGGGCCACACTTGTCCCTCCCTCAGAAGCTGTGGGAAGGGGGGTGGGGGAGGAAAGGGGGGGCCTCAGTGCAGCGAGACTGGAGGGGCTCTTGCAGAGGGGTCCCGCCTGGCGTGGGGACGCTGGCCGCGGGGTGCCTGGTGTGCGGTGGCCTGACTCTGCCCGCTGGCCTGGCCCAGGGCTCCTGGCGTCTGTCCCTCTTCAGGTTCCGTCCACTGTGTGCGGGACAGGCTGGGCATCTGCACATCCGATGGGTCCGGGGCATTTAGAGAACTGTGGTGTGGCCTGGGGCAGCAGCTGGCAGGTGACCGCTGCGGGGGGGCAGGATGAGGGAGGGCTCCTTGGCCCCTTGCAGAACCTTCCAGCTGCCTGGCCTCCCTCCTGGACAGCACAGGCCTGCGGCGCTCCCTCCCCCTCCTCCAGCCCCTTCCCAGCTTCTCTCCTCTGCTGCCTGGACCCGCCCCTCACCCCTCCAGCCCCTAGCCCAGTGCTGACCTGGGTCCTGCTGGGCACCCGCCGGCAGGCATGAGGCAGGATGCAGGTCCCCTGTTGTCCAGTGGCCAGTAGAAGGGGACAGGGCTGTCTTGCTGGAGCCAGGGCTGCCGCCCGGGATCCTGGCAGCCAGGTGGAGGCTGTGCTGCCCTCGCCTGTCTTCTGCACTCTGTGGCCCCTGCCAGTACCCATCAGCAGAAGGAGGAGCAGGGGCCAGGGGTGTGCTGGGTGCGGAGGGCCGGGCCCTGGCCTTGGAGTCCCCTCCCCAGGACATGCCCTGGAGTGCGGCCGCAGGAAAGAGGAGCCGAGAAAGCAGGGCGCTGTGGCCAGAGGCGGCCCCTGTCCTCGGGCGCGAGGGCATCTCACAGAGTTGGTGAGGCTAAATGACGGGCAGCGCGGTGAGTGTGGCCGCAGGTGGGGGGGCTCCGCTCCAGGGTGGGGCTGCTGTGGCTCCGTCCTGGCGGACCTCTGGGCTGGAGCCCCCTTCGCGCCTCCCTGTCAGGTGTGCGGCCCTCGGAACTCGCCCACTGGTCAGTCCTGCTCAGCAGAGGAGGGGGCCCCCCCTGCTCTTCCCCTTTGCTCCCCGGTGCCTGGTGGGGCAGGAGCGGAGGGAAGGAGGGAGCCGGACCGGCCTCTCGGGTTGTGCTGTCCCCCAGGCTGTGCCGGGCTGCTGGGCCTCTGGCTGAGGCCTCATGAGAGGGTCTGGTGTGTAGTGGGGTCCGCTCCCCTCAGGCTTGCTCATGGGGCGGAGCCCCGGAAGGGCTGGCGGGGAGCTCAGGGTCCGGTCCTGCCGAGGAGAGGGCGGGGCGGCCTCTGGGGGCTGATGCGAGGGAAGCAGGGCTCAGGGAGCCGCCGGGCAGGTGGGGGCTGCCAGGTGCCACTCCCGCCCTGACTGCGCCCCTGCTCCCTGGCCTGCAGGGTGACCCTGCTGCAGCCGCTCCTGTGTCCCCTGCCCCTGGGCCTTCCCGCCGGGCCCCTGCCTCCTGCCCGGCCCCAGGAGCACGGCTGTCTGGGAAGCGGGAGCCGAGTCCGCCTGTCCCTGGGGTGCCCCCTCCCCGGGCGCGCCTGCCTTGGAGGCACCGCCGCCAGCCCCCTCGCTGCTCCGTGTCTCAGGAGCTCCTGCTTCTCCCGCGGAGAGCAGAAGTCAGGGTGGCCTGACTCCAGAGCCAAGCTCCCCCTCCGGACCCGGTGCTGGCTGTCGCCCCCCAACCCGTCCCGGGGCGTTGCTCAGGAGGCCGACCCCGGGAGGAGGGTGCGCAGTCAGACCCTCCAGGCGGCCGGCAAGATGCCTGCCAGCGCCTGGATTCTGGGAGCCGCTCCCTCGGAGGGCGGGTCCCTGGTCGCGCTGCGGGGGGCTGGGCAGGCGGGGCGGCGCCGGTGGGGGGGCGGGGGCTGAGTCTCAGTGACGGCTCCATCCCGCAGCTGCGGGGGCCCCCGCGCCCTGCCTCCAGTGTCAGCCTCCTGATTTGGTGCAGGAAATACTTTCAAAATGATCTCACCGCATGATTGATGTAAACGGCCCTTTTTCTCCGGAGACAATCGAGATAGCGTCTGATCCTGGCGACCGCAGCTTCCGCGGTCCCGCGGCTGCACAAGCCGGGGTGACTCAGGGCGCCGGTGCATCCCCTGGAGCCCTCGAACTTCTGACAAGCACGGGCGAGCGCCCGGAGGAGGCAGCCAGGCCCGCGGGCTTCCGCCTCCGGCCGAGATGAACTTGGAAAGAGGCTGGTCGGACGAGGCGCCCGGGGCAGGCGGCCGGCAGGTGAGTGGCGGCGTCTGTGCGGGCTGGCGCCCCGCAGAGGGTCTGAGCTCGGACCTGGGCTCCGCGGCCGCCCTCCGGTGGGGAGCGGGAGGGAGGGGAGCCCCCGCCGGTCTGCCGGGGAGCAGCCTCCCCTCACCGCCCTCCCTGCAGCGCGTGCTCAGGTCCAGGCAGTGTCCCGCCGCTCGGCCGCCTCAGGGAGCCGGTGCTCTGCGACGGACGTGGCTGCACCTCATTCCAGTCTATAGAGAAACAGGTTTGGGGGGATTTGGGGCTTGGAGCCGGTGGGCGCCCGTGCTCTGGACATGCCTGTTTACATCAGGGCTTGGGTGAGAGGCCTGATCCTGCCTCACTCGGCGTGGGCGCATCCCACCTCCCACTGGCCGCTGCCGGGTGTTGCTGCAAAGGGTGGACAGAGCTGAGTCGCCAGCGGCCGCTGCTGGTGACTGGCCCCCCATTTTAAATCCTCTCCTGTCCCGGAGGTGTCTTATCTAAGTGTCCCCAGCCCCAAGCCTCCCCTCGGGGAGCGGCCCCTGGTGTGGGTGCAGGACCTGGCTGGACCCCTTTAGGTGGAAAACGGAGACGTGTCTGTGGTGGGTCAAGAATCATCTTTATGAAATAAGCAGATTTTCATGCATTTCTGCATATTTCGCAGGTATTTTCAGAGCCCTGTGCTGACTGCAGGGGGCGCCCCGTCCCGGAGTCCCCCCCACCTGCCCGGTGGAAAGTGGCCCCAGGGGTCCCGGCCTCCTGCCCTGTCAGCTGGGCGCTGTTGGCGCACACATGGGGCTGCGTTTCTCTTCAACGGTGCCGAAGGCAACTTTTCAAAACTTGGTTTTTGTGAGCAGGTGGAAAGGTCACTGGAAAGGCCGTTGTCCTTTCTGGCCCGAGAGACCTGGAGCCCAGCGCCGTCGCAGACGCCCGGCCGGCAGGGAGCCCTGGGGTGCGTGTGACCGCTTGGCCCCACAGGGGGCTGACGGGCTGGGGCCCTGGTGCAGTGCGGTGGGGGGCCCCGGCGCTGGCCCCCCTCACCTGCCCCACGCCTGGGCCTCGGACTGACTCCTGTCGTTGGGGGTGTCGGAGGGTGCTCGGCCCGTTCGTGGGGTGCACGTGCCACTTAAAGGCAGGCCGAGCTTCTCGTCGGCGCCTCTCATCCAGCCTCTGCGGGCATCTGTGCCAGTCACGGGCGGCCGGCAGCAGGCGCTCCTGGCAGGCGGCTGACCCCGGCCCCGTCACCTTGGCGTGAGGCCCAGAGGACACGGGCCTGAGAGTGGCCGTGCCTGGCCGGACGCAGCCGGTGCCGTGCCCTTCCACACCGGGTCTGCCCCTGGCCCCAGCGAGCGCTGCGGGGGCCGCGGTGGGCCTGACGTCCGCGTGGCCGGCCGTGCCCCTGCGCCCGCCGTGTCTGCCCCTCCGGCCCTCGGCCTGGGGCAGCTCCCGAGAGGGCAGCTGAGTGGTAAGTCCCGGCCTGCCGGACTCTCAGGCGGGCGCGTTGCCCCCGGGAGCCGGCTGTCCTCCCTGGCCTGCCTGCCCGGGGCCGAGCCCTGCGGGACCAGCTCTCGGGGGCCAGGGCCCTGCGGGGAGGAGCCTGTGATGACCGGGGTGGGGGGGGTGTGTGGTGGCTGCTGCGGGGCTCCTGGGGGGCCTGTCCAGGGTGAGTCGGGTCGGGAGTGCCCGCAGGCTCCGCCCCGCCCTGGGCCTGGCAACGCTCCAGCTAATGCCCCCTCGCGCCTCCCCTGTCTCCTGGGGCGGCCCGGGCAGAGGAGAGATGCCTGGTCAGGATTTCGGGAAGGAGGGCCCTGGCGGGGGGGGCGCACGCCCCACTTCCCCTCTCAGCCCCGCGGCCCCCCGCCCTCCTTGCCAAGCCGCGGGGCTGTGTACGGGGAGCCCCGTCCCTCGAAAACGTCTTCCCTCCGTTGCCTTAGGAGTTGCCCCGAGTCAGCCCTTCCTGCCCCCGCCCTCCGGCTCCCCTCTCCCGCCGCCAGGGCAGAGGGTCCCCCACAGCGGCAGGGTCCTCCCCCCACTTGTAGGAGGCCGGGAGGCCAGAGTGACCAGACGGGACACACACCCTTCGCGTCTGCCGTCCTGTCCCCCTTCCTCGCTCGGGCCGGCCCGGGGGTGTGCCCTCCTGCCCCGCCTTGCTCTCCCGCCTGGGCCCTCGAGCCCCAGCCCCTGCTCCAGAGACCCCGAGGGGGCCCCACGCCCGCCCCCGCACCACGCGCGCTGCCCAGCCTCGCCTGCTGGCTGCCCTTCCACGTGGCCTCCAGTCCCGGCTCAGGCTCGCTGGCGGGGCCCTGGCAGCCAGGGCTCCCTGGGGCGTGGGGCCAGGCTGGGCTCCCCAAGCGCCCCTGCCCGCGGCTGTGTCCTGACCCTGCCCAGGGCCCGGCATGGGTCACGGAGGTCTCTCCGGTGCGGGCGGGCGTGTGGGCACGTGGGTGGGCAGGCGCGTGAGCTCACCGCCCAGCGGCCGGGCCGGGCCGGCACTGGGCTCCAAGATGCTGGGCACTTGCTGTCACGTTGTTCTGTCCTGTCCCATCGCGGCTCTGACCAGCTGCTCCCGGGCCCTGACTCCACCTGCCAGCCCCGTGGGGCAAGACCCCGTACGCGCTGGTGCAGAGGGCAGGCTGGCGTGGGGCCGTGACGGCTGTGGCTGGACATTGCTGTGGTCCCTTTCTTGGGGTGCCCCGGCCCCACACAACCCCTGAGCTCTTCCCCTGTCCAGTGAGGACTCGCCTTAAAACTCAGATGATCAAATACTTAAGATCAGAGGCGAGTTCCATTGTTGGATCCCCAAGGCCTCTCCCGGGGCCTCGTGCCCCCTTCCCAGAGGCCTGACCCCCTCAGGGCCACGGGCGGACACCGCCACCTCTCGGGCACCTCAAGGCCGCGTCCCGGAGCGGCCTAGCCCAGGGCTGACAGAACCTCCCAGACCCGGGTCGGGCAGCTTCTGCACAGTCACGCGCTCTCCACGCACAGACGTGGTGTCCTGTCCGCAGGCCCGAGGTCCCCCGGGGCGTCCAGCGGGCGGAGGTGGCTGGACCCTGGGTTGGTATCGCGCGCACCGCTCTGAGACAGCAGCGTTTCCCGGTGGAGCGCCCAGCTCAGGGCTCCGCAGGTCCGAGCTGCCCAGCTCGGCCTTGGTTCAGACTGTGAGCCAGGAGGCTCCCCCGCCCGCCGCGGCGTCTCCCGCAGGGGAGCCCGGTTGTGGCTGCGGCCGGCCCGGGCCGGCAGGGCGGAGGGCTGACTTGCAGGGAGCTTAACTGACAGGCTCGGACTGGAGGCTCTGGACGCCGGGCCCCAGGCCACGTGCTGGGCACTGTCCGGTGCTCTCTGAGTGCCATCCTAGGCCGCGCCCCGCCGGGGGCCAGCTCAGGAAACCAGGCCTAGGGAAAGGGTTCCGCTGGCCAGGACCCGGCGTGTCCTTGACCCCAGGCCAGCGTGGACAACTTAGCCGCCTTCCCACCCCTCCTCCTCCCTGGCGGCTCCTGCCACCGCACCCTCCCTGTGGCCGCCTGCCCTCAGCTGCTGCCCTGTCCCCCTCGAGGGCCCTCGGGCACAGGGTATGGGCCTGGTGTTGCCCGGGGGAGGGTTGATGGGGGCTGGGGGGAGATGGCGGCCCGCGAGGCCTCGCCTGTCCAGGACCCGTCGTCTTGGGGGGGCGGGTCTCACATGGGGCGTCTGCTCTGAGGGCCAGTATGGCGGGTGTGGACGGTGGGTGCTGCTTTTGTGCACTCCCTGGGGGCCACGCGGTGTCCTCACCGGCCCTCCCGGTGCCCCTGCAGCCCAGCTGGCAGCCCCGGTGCCGGAACATTCCTGGGTGGGGTGTGGAAGGAACTCTGTCCGTGCGGCTTCCCAGGCTGGGGAGGAAGGAAACGTGTCACGGGGCTGCGGCTGGGCTGGGAGCTTCCCGGACAGCGCCGAGCAGTGGCCCTGCAGCGGGTGCCTCCTCCGTGGCCGCCCAGGGCAGCGGCAGGTGCCCACGGCTATTCTCTGTGCGTCCCGGCAAGGTTTCCCGTGCCCTGGGACTCCCAGGTCTCCTGTTCCCAGGTCTCCTGTCCCCGGGTCTCCGTGGGGCTCCCTGAGCCTCCTCCCCAGCACCCCCCACCCCCGCCTCTGCCCTGTGGCCTGAGGGGGCGTCCCTGGGGCGGTGAGTGCACACCGGGGCTCCTCTGGAACTCTGTGGGCTCGGCCACTTTTTCCCCGGGAGGATGTGGGCTCATGACTGGGTGTGGGGCATCCCCAGCCCACGACCTGCCCGCTGGGGCGGCAGCGGCCACCAGGGCACGGGAGGCTGCCTGGGAGGCCCAGGGCTCAGGACTGAGGCCTTGACGCTCCTCCTGCCAAGCATATGGGGCGTGGCGGGGCCTGGCGGCAGGGGGCGATTGGGACAGCAAGTATGGTGTGTGGGCATCAGACCACGTGCATGCATGTGCACATGTACACCACCAGGGACACACGTGCACACGCCACCAGGCACGCACACGCACACGCAGGCACTTAGACGCATGCCACTGGGCACGCACCACATCGAGGTGCAGGCCCCGGGCTCACAGCCGCGGGAGGACGCGGCTGGCGGGGGCCGGGAGCGGGACCGGGAAGGCAAGCTGCTGCTCAGGTGGCCTCGTCCTGCGGCAGGGGCGCCCCGGGGGCCCGGGAAGTGGGGGCAGGAGCTCGGGCCCATCCTACCTGGGGAGCTCGGGCCTGTCCAGACAGGGGCGGTAGCAGGCCCGTCCCCCGTGCGGCTCTGTGCACCTGGGCAGTGACCTGGACGCTGGGACAAGGCGCGGGTCGTCCCTGCGCCCCCAGCACCTCCCCTGGAGGCTGCGCGTGCTGGGGTCCTCCCGCTGCCTCTGCCGCCCACCCCCCCACAAAGCCCCTGGGAGTGACCAGCCCAGGGGCTGACCTGCACCAGCAGCCCAAGCGTCCTTCTCAGATGCCCTCGGGGGCCGCGGCCGGTGTCTCCGGGCCGTCCTTCCAGCCTCACCCGCCCTCCGGGAAGGAGGACGCGTCTGCTCTTGTCCCGCGTCTCGCGCCAGCCCCTCCCCGCAGCCTCTCCCAGCTCCTTCCCGGAACCCCCTGCCTGCCTGCAGCTCCTCCGCGGGGCTGCCTGGCTGGGGTCCTCCAGCCCTGGCTGACCCCTGCCCTGCGGCTCCCGGCTGGGCCCCGTCCGCCCTGCAGGGCGGGGGGTGTGGAGGGGCCCCTGGCTGCAGGGGCTCCGAGGGACAGCGGCGGGGCCCCCCTCCTGGCGCCGCTGCTGACTCCAGGAGGCAGGGAGCGGCCCTCGGGCCGGCACGGGCTGGCTGTGAGCTGGGCTTCCTGGGACTCGCTCCTCTGAGGGGAGGTTTGGGGACTTCCGTGGGGCGGGGCGGGGCGGGCACCGGGCGGGCGGGGCGGGCACCGGGCGGGCAGCTTCCAGTCTCGCTGCCCCTGCAGGGCTGCCTGCGCCCCGAGTAACTCATGTCTCTCTCTCTTCTCTTTCAGTCTGCAGCCGTGTCTGATGGGGGTAAGTCCGTGCTCTGGCGTTTGTGTCTGTTGTTTTCAACAAGTGTCACGTCACGGGCGTGTTTGCCGTTCGGCTCAGAACCGGGTGCGGGCTCTGCCCCCTGGGCCCAGCCGGACTCCCGGCTGACGTGCTGCTGGCCGCTGCACCTGGCAAGCCCAGACCCGGCCCCTGTGGGCTCCAGCTCTGCGGGAGGCGCGGACACACTTGCCGGGCAGGCAGGAGGGGGACGGCGGTGGCCCTCCGGGGCGCGGGCCAGGCGTGGGGGGGGGCACAGGGCGTGGCTGTGTGCGGGTCCTCCCTGGGCCGTCCCCCCATGAGGCCCAGGCCATGGCGGCTCGCCCGGCTTCTGTCCAGGACACCCCTTCCCGCCGCGGCCTGTGCGCGGTCCTTTCACCCGTCCGGAGCTGCCCCGGTGTCCGCAGGGGCCTGGACCGGGGCCGGGCCGGCGGGTGGGTGGGAGGCGACCGTGTCCGCCCGGTGGCACCACGGCCTCGCCGCCGTGAGGGCTCTGCCCCGGCCGTGGGAAGAGCAGGCGCCGCCCGAGGTGCCCGGGGCTCTTATAAAAAGAAGGGCGTCATGTTACCCGCGCTGTGTGGGGTAATCCGGCCGGGAGTGGGAACTTCCTCGACGAGCAGGCACAGGACCTGCAACCCAACCGGTGCCCGCCCGCCCCTCTGCCAGCGCCTCTTGCCGCTCGCGCAGACGCTCGCATGCCAGGCGTGCCCACGCACGCCGCCTCCCCCACCCGGGGCCTCCGCCAGCCGCCCTCGGCCGTGCTGTGCGGGGGAAACGCTGCGCTCCGGGCGTGGCCGCTCAGCGCCCTCCGGGGCCGGGGCCCTTCCGAGGCGGTGGCGTCCCGCGTGGGCCCCGCGCCCGAGGGGCTGTCCGTCCCCAACCTTCCTCTCCCGACAGGACGGCGGGGCCCCCGCCCGAGCGCCCCACCTTCCCCCGGCACTGCCCCTGCGGGAGGCGGCCAGGCCGGGAAGGGGCCTGTGCGCCGCACTGTTGCGGGACCCGTGGCGTCTTGTCCCTTCTTGGGGGGCGGCCCTGGGGGGCGACGACAAACAAAGTGGGTCAAGGCCCGCTGCGGGGCGACCGACCCCCCAGCTGGACGCCGGCAGTGCAGCCACCAGGGCCCCTGAGCCCGGCTCCCTGAGCGCTGCTGAGGCTGCCCCTTGCCCTCCTCTGCCCCGCGGCTGTCTCCCGGGAGGTGGGAGCCTCGGGTGGACGCGGTGCGGCGTCCCGGCCCCTTCCCCTGGTGACGGCCACCCCAGGGGCGCTGCCTCGCGTTCCCGCGGCGACCGTGAGCTCCGGCCCTCCTCCCGTGCCTGCCGCCTCCTCCGTCCTTGGGGAGAGGCGTCCGGTCCGTGGCCCGCCGGTCTCGGAGACGCCCGTGAGGCGCGGCTTCTCTCCCCCCGGCCTCCCGGTCAGGCGCCCGCCGGTCTCCTGAAGAAGCATCTCTGGCCACTGGGCCCTGCAGGACTGGCCAGCGGGACCGAGGCAGGCCAGGAGGCGCGGTGCCCAGAGCGCTGCCCCCAGGGGGCTGCCTTGGTTTCGAGTCCGTCTTAATCACCACCCTGTTGGGCAGGTCGAGGTGTCAGCAGCAGGAAGACACCCGCGGCCGGGGCGCCCACTCGGGGCCGGCGTGGTTAGGGCGGCGGGTGGGGGCGGGCAGCCTGCAGGCGGCCGAAGGACGCGCTGGGACACATTGAGTGAGCAAAGGGAAGCAGCAAAGGTCAGCAGCGCAGGGCAGGTGGCCACGCCCGGTCCCAGAGCTGAGAGCTGCCCCCCCAAGCGCCTGTGGGCCTCTGGGGTACAGCCTCCGTCACCGGCCCGCTTCTCGGTCAGAGCTGGGGGCAGAGGCCCAGCCCCCGGCCCCTCGGTGCCTGCTCCCGGGTCCCCAGGGGGGCGGCCCCACCTGCCTGCGCTGCTGCTGCTTTGAGCACGCCCGTCGCGGCGAGCAGCTCTCCCAGCCGTCTTGCTGCGTCCTCGTGGACTTTCCGACGCCCCCTCTTTGTCAGACTTGGGCTCACCCTCCCTGTGCGCTGTCGGCTCCCCGCGCCCCTTCGTGCAGAGGCTTCGGAGTCCTCGAGCCCTGCGGGCGGTTCCCCCTCTGCCCCGCCCGAGCCCGGGGCCCCCGGACCTGCCCACGGCCCGCCTGTCTTCCCACCCTCCTTGGTGAGCTTTCACGCGTGCCGAGCGGCCTTTCTTCTCCGGGAAAGGCGTTGGCGCTCAGACGGGACAGACGCGGACCCGCTGAAGCCTCCGCGCTCTTTCCTCCCCCTGAAGCTGGCGGCGGGAGCCCTGTCTTGGGCGGGAGCAGGCGGCCTTTTGGGCCTTGAGTCGGCTGCACCTGCCGGGCTGGGCCTCTTTCCAGCTTCTGCCCGGCCTCAACCCTGCCGCGTGCGGGGAGTGACCGTGGACATGGCAGCTGAGGCCTGGTGGGGAGCCTGGGGGGGCGCCTGGAGGCGGCTTTCTAGAAGCACCTCTTCTGTCAGGCGTCTGGCCTGAGCGGCCTCTGAGCACCCGCCCTGCGCGGAGAGTGGCTGACCCCCACGAGAGAGCCGGTCTGTGGCCCTTCCCTGGCCGCTCCATCCCACCACCCCGCCGGGCCCGGGGACCCCAGCTGGGGAAAGTCGGGGTTCTGCCCCCACCTCCACAGAGCACAGGCTGACCCCTGGGCCGTGGGGGTGAGTCTGTCTCCATCTTTACCCTCGCCCGGGGACCGCCTCCTCCTGCAGGGTCACATGGGCAGCGGGCACTGAGCCCAGCGCCAGGGGCTTGCAGGCAGCTGAACTTCAGCGTGTAGCTGCCGCGATCATTGATATTTTTGGCAAAGGAATTTGCATTCTGTAAAATTGTGAAGGGGAAGTGCGAAAGGTCTCCGGGTATCTGTGCAGAGTTTCTATGGATTCATGTTCTCCTTGTCGGGAAAGCAGCGGCCTCGCTGCACGTGTTTCAGAGACGTCTGCTGAGTCGTGGCGGCGGGCCGGCGGCCTGCCGTGCGCCGCGTGAGAGGGGCCGCTCGGCCAGAGCTCCTGGGGCGTCTCAGGGCTTGCTTTGGGGGTCAAGTCACATCCCAGCTGCCGAGGAGTTCCCGGCCGTGGGCGCCGGCGTAGGGGTGCTGGGGCGCGTGGAGGCCTGCGCTCTTTGGGTTGACTTCCTTCCACTTCGACAAGGCATTTGGGGTTTTTATTAGTAATTATTTATACTGTGGACTTTTTTCCAAAAAAATTCAAAAGCAGTGAAACCAGGGAGCCCCGCCAGTGCCTCCCTCCCGCGTGCTGGCCGCAGGCCCGCGGGGGCGTCCCTCCAGCTCTCTGAGTGCTGTCGGGGTCTGCAAGGGCTGGCAGCCCCGCCCGCGGTGCACACACCGGGCCGCCAATCTGGTGGGGCTTCGTGCACCCAGCACCTGCCGCCAGTCTCCTGGGTGCGGTGCCCTCCCGTGAGCGGCCTCATGGCGCCCCCGGAGGCACAGACGAGCATCCAGCGCCTGACGTGGGGCCCTGAGGGCCCCGAACCCCCTCGAGCTCTCCCGCTGGACCCGCGCCGCCTGCCTCCTCCCCACCCAGGGGCACGGGCCTGGCTCCTGGCTGCTGCCACGCTTCTTGCGGGGCCCTTGTCCTAGGGCCCCTTTTTGTCCAGAACCCCTGCCAGGGCCCCACGGGGCAGTGCCTCCCCCTGCCAGGCGGGGCTCAGGGAGGCTCAGCAGCCGTGCAGGCAGGTGAGCGGCCGTGGTGGTGCCTGCCAGGCCTCCTGCGCCTGGGCCCCAGCGCCGTGTGCGGCTCCTCCAGGCAGTGGGCGGGCACTGGGTCCCTCCGTGGGGCCGCTCCTCTGGATGGGGCGGGTGCGGCCAGGGGCCTCGTGCTGCTGGCAGAGAGGTCCCCGCAGAGGAGGTGCCTTCAGTTCCTGCGGTGGAGACTCTCGTGGGCTCACCAGCTGCTGGGTGGACCGTTGAGGGCAGGCATGAGCTCAGGCTCCCGAGCTCGTGGCCAGGGCTGCCCAGAGCCGGAGAAGCTGTGTCAAGTGACCGGGTCCGCGGCCTGTCGCCTGCCCACCTCCTAGCCCCTGCCGCCCGGCTGGGCAGCGGGGCCCGGGTCAGGCTCCCCGCTGCATGGCCCGCTGGCCTGGGGAGCGGGCACGGCTCAGGTCCACAGGTGCCTCGTCCAGTGCTGATTTCACGCTCTCTGGCTACATGCCTGGAAGTGGGCTGCCGGGTGTGAGCGTGGCCCTCGCTCGAGTGTCTTGCGGGAACTCCACGCTGTTTTCTAGAGTGGTTGCACCAGTCACAGTCCCGCCGACAGGGAGTGGGGCTCCTGTCCCCCACTCCTGGCCAGCGCCTGCGGTTAGTGTCATTCTGATGTCAGCCATGCTCACAGGTGTGAGGTGACGGCTCATTGCTGCTTGATTAGTATTTCCCTAATAATAAGGGATATGTTTCACCTGGATGTTCTTGTTGGTGATGAGTCTGTTCAGATCTTCTCCCCAGTTTTTAAAAATTGTCATTTTTTAATGTCGAGTTGCAAGAGTTCATTATATAGCTCGTGCATTAATCTCTTATCAGATGTAGGATATGCAAATGTGTTCACCTATTCAATAGACGGTCTTCTTTCAACTGAAATTTCTTTCACTCTGAAGAAGCCTTTTAATTTGATCCGTTCATCTCTTTTTGCTTCCATTTCCCTCAACTCCAGGGGTTGAGTCCCTGGAGACATCTCTTAGGCTGATACAGGACGTATCACCTGTGTTCTTCTACATATTTTATGGTTTCGATCTTACATGAATCTTTAATTCATTTTGAATTTATTTTTGTGTGTGAGGCTAGACAGTGATTCAGTTTCATTATTTTATATGCGACCCTCCAGCTTTCCCATTTGAAGAGATTTGCCTTTCTCCGCTGTGTGGACGGCCCTTTTGTCACAGATGGAGTGTTGGTGTATGTGTGGGTTTGTCTCTGCTCTTGACTGTGTTCCATGGATTTCTTTGTCTGTTTTTAGTCC